TGTGGTTAAAGTCACCATCACTCCACCATGGATATCTTGATCTTTTTGGTCTGACTGCTTTTCATTTTTGGAGCAATGTGGGAGATTTTCATTTTCATGTATTACTCCATTGATTCAATCTAGTTGAAGCAAATTAAGTATATTTGTGAACCTCTTCAATGAGTTGGGTTTTTTGCCATAAGAAATAGATTTGATGACCTTTCAGCTAAAAATAATGTTCCCAAGTAAAAGTTGTCCCAAACCTGTTCCCACAGAGCACTGCTGATTCTTATCTAGCCATCTTGCCGCACGTGTAGATTTTATCTAAATTTATAGGGACTTCAAAGTTCCCTATTATAAGCACTATACTTTTTCATGAGGATATTAACATTTTATTTTGATAGTACTGTTTTTTAATGTATGAACATTTTATTTTGAAATGTGTGCAAGTTTTCTGCTCAGAGAATTTAATATATCTTTTTCCCCCATTCTTTTTTTTATGATTTCCAGTTTTGAATCCATGCTAGTTATATCTGTATGGATTACAAGCACTATTTTTTAAAGACAAGATATAATTTATTGTCCACCAGATTGAAGTGATTTTGGAACCTACTATCCACTTGGTGATGATAGAAAAAGACTTGCTTGTTTATAACTGGTTTTATCAAATGTTGTCATATAGGAGAATGCACAACCCTAAAATTAAAAAAGACAACTTGACAAGAGCCATCATGATTTAGAATACTTGTACCCTTTGACCTAGAAATTATCCACTAGACATTTTCAGGAAAATTTCACTCTTCCTTTAAACCCACTCCATCACCTCCCGCACCCCAGAAAGACTGCTCTCACCTGCATCTGAGGTTACATGTGTGTGCCACCATACCCAGCTCTCACATACTATCTTCTCCTCTAGGTGTAAGCTCCATGAAGGTTGAGACCTTGGTACACTTCTTACCAAGGGATTCCTCCTTTTAAATAACATTTGATGTGTTGACTGAATGGATTCATGAATGAATTTTTTTTGTTTCTATTATAAATTTTAAAACCTTTACAAATTTTTTGAAACTTTGGCCCAGCTCACACGTGACTTTTTTTGATGTGAAATTTAGATTTTTGAGGTTTTACTATCACTTCCTTCTTAGGTATTTTTAATCTCTAAAAATTTACCAGTATTTAGAGTTCAGTTTCCAACAATCATTTGTTTATATTAGTATTTCTTTTCTTTTCTTTTTTTTTTTTTTTTGTACTTGTATCTGGGGATTTAACCCAGGAGCACTTTATCACTGAGCTAAATCCAGYCATTTTAAATTTTTTTTTATTTTGGATCAGGGTCTCAGTAAGTTGCTATAAAGCTGGCCTCAAATTTATGATCCTCCCACCTCAGCCTCCCAAGCTAATGGGATTACCGGAGTGTGCCACCATGCCTGGCCTGTGAACACTTATAAAGTTTTATAGCATGGCATTTCTCTCCTGCATCTTTATCAATTTAGACTAATTTTCCTATAGAAACAGGCCAGCCCAAGGTTTAAATGAACTTTCAAACGGGTGGGGAAAAACCTTTGGCTGTGATTTAAAATAACAGTTATTATGTTGAGCTGGCCATCAATGAGTAAGAACTAGAATGCAAATAAGAGATACATTGAATACAGGTTAAAGCTGTAATTAGGAACAAGTACTTTAACTTTATTCTGTAGGCTCACTGGCATTCTTCTGGGTG